GGAACAGAGCGTTCCGGCTACTGAACTTCCTGTTGACGAGTCTCTGGGCAGGGGTGAGGGCTGGAGCTCCAGGGCCGGCGTGGAGGGGGGCCGGGGGTGCGGGGGGTCGTGGGGGGCTGGCCGCCTCTGCAGGCGCAGCCACTTGGGAGCTGGGCTCTCTGTCTCTCGCTTCCCGAGACCCACCACAGTCAGGGGCCGCCTTCTGCTGCCCGTGTGCCCAGCGTCACCGAAAAAGACAAACAAGCAGGATGTTAGCTTTCGGGTCTATTAAGCCATGAGATGCAAACCCCTTCCTCACCCACCCCACCCTGCTCCCCACGGCTGCCACCTGGGCCACCCCCCTCGCCCCAGCCCCTCCCTGCGCGACCTCCCCCAGGGGCCGTCCAGGCCTTGCTGCCCGGCCAGCTGGGCTGTTCAAGGTCAGATCGAGTGCTTCACCCACTTCACGACGGTTTTAGAGCTATGGTCATGTTGAGGAGGAGTTCCCCACCACATCCCCGGGGGCCGGAGGAGAATCCGCATCGAATCGGGAACTGAGAACAGAGGGGTGGCTTTGCCCTGCAGAAATCGCCTTCGAAGTGCGGGTCCTGGCGCCCAGCGCTCGCCCGGGCCCCCTCTCCTGCAGCGTCTCTGCAGGTCAGCGTCTCTGCAGGTCAGCGTCTCTGCAGGTCAGCATCTCTGCAGGTCAGCGGCTGCCTCGTCTGCTCCCCTGGTCATCCCCCGCCCCCCTCTGTCCCTCTGCTGCTGTTCAAAAGCCCCCACCACGTGTGCCACGAAGGAAACAGAAACAGAAACAGAAACACAAGCCAAGAGCAGCTCTGCTCCAGTTCCACTATCTGCAAACAAGCAGACGCCATCCGCCTTTTCAGGGGCGAACCCCGGGCACGAAATGCTCCCAGGACAGCACTCCGGCACGCGGAGGCCTCCAGGACGGACTCCACACCCACCGCCCACTCCGCGGGAGAACATGGACCCCGCCGCAGCGGGGCAGCCTCCCCTCCCACCCCGCCCTTTGCTCGCCGCGCCCCCTCCCCACCGGCCCGTCTCCACCCAGCCCTCCCCTGAGCCCCCCACTCCATCAGGACCCAGCCCGCCCGGTCTCACATGCAGCATCTACTCCGCCCTGGGACCCAAACGTTCAGGGGTCCACGGTTTACCGACTGCCTTCTCGGATAAATGGGCTCTTCTGAGACAGAACCCCCGTCTCTGTGGGTCCGGGAGGGCTGTGAGGTGCGCCAGCAGGAGGAAAAGGCTACAGGGTCTCAAGTGCAACCCTGGGTGGGAAAGCAGAAGGGGGGGAGGAAGACGGGCTGCGTGGAAATTAAGGATGTCGCACCCCAACACGGGAGGGTGCCCGGGGGGTGGGGGCTCGTCGACTGCCGGTATGTGGGAACGTGGGAGTGGGAAGGAAAGGAGTTCATGTCCTTCTCCCTCCCTAACCCAGTCCTTGGCAAGAGGAATGGTGCCCCCACCACGGGCTTGGACGGTTCTGGATCCGCCGCTTCCCCGAAGCTGAGAAGCAGCCCCCGGCCCCGGGTCTGGGGGTCGCTCCCCACGGGTCTGCGGTGGGGCCCGGCTCTGGCCTTTCCCTCAGAGCTCCCCGGTCGTCCTAACTCGCGGCAGAATGGAGACGCGCTGCAGTATACGGTGCCGTACGCTTCTGGGGTTAGGAAAGGTTTGAATGTCCTCGTGGCTGCGTCTAATTCCGCCCAAACCCGGGACCCGCCTCAGAAGTCCAGGGGGGCGTCTCTGGGCCATCCCCTTCGGGCTTTTCATCAGTTCTATCTGCTACCCTCAGTGACTGGCCAGTGTCCCTCCTGACCAGGCCTCCCCCACTTCCCGCTGGCCCAGGAAACCCCAGCCTGGCCTTTCTTTCCGCTGTGGACACGCACTTTGTCCACGGGGGCCTGGCCGAGTGCCGTGCCCTTCCCCTCCCTCCTGTCTCCCTCCCTCCCTCCCTCCCTCCTTCCTTCCTTCCTCCCTCTCTCCCTTCCTTCCTCCCTCCCTTCCTTCCTTCCTCCCTCCCTTCCTTCCTCCCTCCCTCCCTCTTCTTTCTTTCTTTCTTTCTTTCTTTCTTTCTTTCTTTCTTTCCTTTTTCTTTCTTTCTTTCCTTTTTCTTTCTTTCTTTCTTTCTTTCTTTTTCTTTCTTCCTTACTCTCTCTCTCTCTTTTTAAGCTGAAATTCTCCTCCAAAATTATGAAAATGCACGTGTTTACGGCAACCAATGAGACAACACGAAGATATTTATCCAAGGAGAGGTTTGAACCATCTCCCCTTCCTGTCTCCACCCTCAAGCCTCCCAGCAGACGGGGCTCTCCCTCTGCCTGTTGTCCCCCTCGGTCGCCAGCGTCACCAGCGTCGCCAGGCCCCAGCCCGTCCTGTGGATCTGCAGTGGGGGAGGGGCGGGGAGGGGGTGGGAGTAACGTGTGACGGAGGGACTGGGTGGGGGGGTCAGTCTGGAATCAGAGAAACGGGGAGCTCAATTCTTACCACCCCCACCTTTGTTTTTAACTTTTTAGTTTGAAATAATTTTAAACGTTGACAAAAGTCGTAAGATTCGTACAAAGAACTCCACGTACCCTTCACCCAGGATTCCTTAGTTTTGCCAATTGTGCAATAATTTCTCTCTTTCTCCTGTGTTATGGAGGTGTAGCTGACCGATGAACGTGTCGGGTGCAGCGTACCCTGGAGGACTGGACGCAGGGACATGCAACACGTCATCCCTTGCCTGTAACTCGGAGGGGAAGGAGCCGGCCGGGACCTCGCGGTGGACCCAGCTGTCACGTGGCTCCCGTCTCTGTCCTACGACCCTTCCTCAGCCTGCCCTTGACCTCTCTGACCTAACGCGTTCGGAGATTGCAGACCGGTCGCTCGGGGGACCGCCCTCCGACGGGGCCTACCAGTGCTTCCGCACGAGCAGATTCAAGGCCACCTGGGCCAGAACGCCAAGGACGCCCTCCCGCCTCCGTCCCTCAGCCGTGGAACAGCCTCAAACCTGGCGCCCCCTTCCCGGGTCTCAGCTGTCCCTCAGCCACAGCCACTCGCGGAGGAAGGAGTTGCTTTGTTTTCTTTGTGCCACGTTCCCAGGGCCCAGGACGGACCTTCTGCCTATGGGTTGAAGTGCGTACTTGTGGTTGTGGAAGAACATTTGCTGCTGCTCTTGGTTGTAGAACCAGACGGATGGACGGACAGACAGCAGCACGGGGTGCTCACACTCCCGGGGGGCGGACTGGAGCTCAGGGCGGTTCCGCGGGCCAACGGAGGACCTCCCTGCCTGACCTGCGCCCGGCCTGTGCTCCCACTGGGCACCCATCTGTGCAAAGCTCTGCCCTGGATTCGAAAGTGGCGACCCCACCGACGAGATTCACTCACGCAGCCGCCCGCTCACCGAACAGTGACTGCAGGCCGGTGGCCAGTGGCCGGTCTGGGGCGCCGGGGCACCGCGGCCTGCCCTGCCCAGCAGGTGCCCCCGCCCGCTGGCGGGCACTAGCCCCACTTGATGCTTGGCGGGTCCTCACCACCAGGGGTTGTTAAAGGGGGTAGTGAAGCCCCCCAGCCCCCAGAGAAGGAGCAGCCCCCCCCCCCCAGGCACATCCCCTCCCCCTCCCTGGGTGGTCGGCTCCTGCAGCCCGCAGAGCCGCGAGTGACCCAGCACAAAGAGGGCATTTCCCCACACGTGCTGCCTGCGTCCTGGCTTCCGGGGACCTCCTGGAGGGGCAGGAAGGGGAGGGGAGGGGAGCGTGCCCCCCGCACCCACTCATGGCTGCGGAAACTGGGCTGCGGCCCCGGGCCTGTCTCCCCATTCATTCCCTCTCCTGCCTCCTGTGGAGGCCTCTGCCCGGGGCACCGGCAGGCCCAGAGGAGCGGGCACACGGGGGCCTGGCAGAGGCCGGGGAGGGCGGCCTGCACGGGGCGGGTCTCTGTTCTGCGGCCGGGGGCTGGCTGAGCAGGGCGTGGGCCACAGCTGCAAGTCACCTGGGTGCCCGCGATGCTATCGGGGCCTAACGGTTTCCTCCGGCGCGGCACTTCCGCCCTCCTGGCGGTGAGGCCAGGAGCCTGGGCTGGGGCAGCAGAAGGGCCCCACAGAGGCAGGAGGGACAGGCCCCCACCCCCCGAGCTGGGGCCGGAGGCAGGGCGAGAGACGCGGGGGCCCCCACCAGCCCAGTCCTGCCCCTCCGAGAGAAGAGGGAAACGGGTCTCAAGCATGTGCACGCGCTGCCAGGCTCCAGGAGAACCCCCTTCCCGCTGCCCACTCTGCCCCAGTGCCCGCCCCTCTGCAGCCGTGTGGCTGGCCTGGCGGTGCCTGGGGGGATGCGGGGGGCTTGCCAGTTATTCCTGGGGGTGGGACCCTGAGTGCCTAGCTCCTAATACAAGAAATATCGGACCCCCATTCATTTGCGCTTGGGCATGGGGCTAAGCATTACAAAAAGCTACTCTTCAGAGCATCTGCTGAACTGCATAGTGAGGAAAAGGAAGATCAGAGAGGGCAGACCACTTGCCTAAGGAAACACAGCCAAGGGAGCTGACTCTGGCAGCTCTCTGTGGCAGGAGCCACTCTCAGCCCAGTGCTCACCCTCCCCTGGTCCCTGTCTGCATCTGGGGTGGCTTTCCCTTTGTATGTGTGTGTGTGGGGGGGTCAGGGCTTGGGGATGGGGGCCACAAGATTGCTGCAGGGCCACACAGAGGCTTCCACCCACTGGTCTCAGAAGGCAGGTCCCTGCCTCCTCCCTCCCACCCTCCCAGCGGCGGCCGGCGGCCCGTCTATGAACTGGAAGCAGAGAAAGAGGCTGCTCCAGATTCCAGGCTGAATCCCTCCCTCGCTCCCAGCCCTGCGCTTCAGCCTCTGTGCAGCCCCGGGGCTGGCCGGGATGGCCCTGGGGGAGGGTGGCTGGGCGGGGCCTTCCAGGACCGGACAGCCAGGATGCACCCTTCCCTCCGTTTCCCTGGATGGAGAAGAGGCCCTTTAGCCAGCAGCTGGTGGGAGCTGAAATGCCGCCAGAATCGAATGCACCCCTCAAGGGGGTGCGGGGGGTGAGGGTCACTGCTGAGGGGAGCTTAGAAAGCTTTGCTCGGGATGCCTTGTTTTCCTCCTCCTCCCGACCGGCAGATGAGGGACTGAGGGCTGGGCAGGTTGATTGTGAAGCTGTAAGACAGGGAGGTGGGGAGGTAAAGAGATGAAAGGTCAAAGGGCCGGTCCCCGGGGCGCAGAGTCCGTGCACAGCTGGGCTCCTGGGCGGGGAGTTATCTCAGGCATCGGCAGGGCAGGGTCCTGCTCTCCAGCCGGCAGACCAGGTAGGAACTGAGTGTGACTACCTGGGGGGGAGGGGGAGGGGGGATGAAGCAGCGAGGGTGTCCGTGGAAGAGGGGAGGTCAAAAGAACGGAAGAACAGTGCTAACCCTCAGGAAAAACGGGAAGAAGGTGCATGAAGGAGGGAGAGGCTGAGAAGGACCGAGACCGCGGCAGAGGCCGGGGTCCTGGGCACACTTGTCCGGAGAGAGGCGCCCGGCGGCTGTGCCCTCCCATGTTTGGGCACATTGATGGAGCGAGGTGGCTCCCTCGCTCAGTCCTGCCCTGGGAGGGGACAGTATCTGTTTAGATTTGTGTCTAAATTTAAACCCTGATGGCTGGCCTCCCTCCCCTGCTCCTCCTCCTCCTCCCTCCCTCCCTCCCTCTCCACCTCCTCCTCCCCCGCCTTGCTCCTCCTCCCCCTTCCCCCTCCCCCTCCCTCCTGTCCTCGCCCAGAGGCCGGCTGTCCCGCAGCAACCAGCCGGCGCCCACTCTCCCTGCGCCGGCCGCAGCCGGGGACCAGGCAGGCAGGCGGGCAGGAAGCGAGAGCGGCAGGACCGTGAGCCCCGGGCGGACGAGCCAAGCGGCACCTGGGGGACATGGAGGTAGGGCCTGGCTGGCGAGGGTGAGCGGGAGGGGGCCGGGCAGCTGCGCTCCACGCTGGGGAGCAGGGCGCACGGGCTGGCCCCACGGCTGCCTGGAACAAGGGCGATGCCACCGGCCCGGCCAGCCTGGAGCACGCCCGCCCCACCTGGGAGACCCCTCGGGCGGGGGGTGGGGTGGGGAGGATCTCGAAGGGACAGGGGGACTTTCAGTTCCAGGTACTTTGCAGAGGGACTTATGTGCTCGGGACGAAACAGTTGGGTGCAGCCAGCTTTGCCAGTGGGCGCTGTGGGAGCGCAGACCCCCAGAGAGCAGAGGCCCCTGGGTCTGGAACCGGGCACTGGACGGGGAGCGGGGCGGCGGTGCCCCGTCCCCCTCAGCCCGGCCCCGTGGACGGTCCGGTGGTCCCCCTGCGCCTCAAGTCCCGCTGGCTCTCACATCGTGCGGGACTCTCGGCAAAGCTCCCCTTGTGGGCAGATGGCACTATTCCTGATAAAACTTTGCACTCCCTGGCACGCTCCCGGGGGCATGGGGCGTGCTGGCCATCGCTGCGGGGTGCACCAGGGCGAGTCCCCTCCCCCGTTCCTCCGCCTGGGATTTTCCTGGTCCCGTTCCAGCCGCAGGGGGGTCGGAAACCACCCTGAAGTGGAGGAGTAGCTGGGCGTATCTCCGCCCCCCGCCCCCTCCCTGCTCCGGGTCCTGAGGCTTCCCCACATTTCTGCCTTGAAACTGAGACCTGACGCTTAGCCCTGAGTCCGACCTGGGGCTTTTGAAAAGAAGAAAAGAGAAAGTACCCATGCTAGACCGTTTCTGAGGTGATTCCCACCCTTTGCAAAAGGAGAACCCCAGGCAGATTTCTGCCGCCCCTTCCCACTCCGGGCTCCACCCCAGAGCTCTAACTTAGCCCCCGGCTGGTCACTCCTTCCCCGCCCCCCCGGCCCCCCCCGCCCCCCCCCCCCCCGCCATGGCTCTGTGGCTCCTTTGCAGGGGGCACCAGCCTGTCCTGGGCAGACGTCCTGCACTCGGACGCCCAGCCCAACCAGCTGTCTGCAAGGGACAGAGGTTGTCTTCAGGGAGGCTTTATAAAGTACGGGGACCATGGGGTCCTCCAGAGTCTGAGACAGACCTTCCAGAGACGCTTTGGCGAATCAGGGAAACTGAGGCAGAGTGGGGCTGGGGGTGGAGCGGGGCGGGCGTATCTCACAGCCACACGTGGCAGGTGGGAGTCGAGAGTCTCCAGCACAGAGCACCAGGCTCCCTGCTGGCTGCCTCTGCTTTGGGGCAGGCGCCTGAGGCGGCCCTCAGCCCGGCGGAGGGGGGCAGGACGCTGGCCTGTGGGGCTGGGGAGGGTCCTGGGAGGTGGGCCCTGCTCACAGGGAGAGCGCAGGGGCCTCCGGCCCTGGGCTGAGGCGGGGTCGGACCTGGCATCTGTCTGATCCCGTGCAGAAATGCACGGGGCGGGGGGGCGGCGAGCATGGGGCAAGGCTTTGCCGCTTGCTGCTTCGGGGCCGGGGCAAGTTCGAACCTCGTTCCAGGAAGACCCCAGGGGCTTCTCCTGGGAGGCACGTTCTGGTCCCTGGGCGGGAACTGTCACCTGAGCTACTTCCTGTGTGGGGGCGGGGAGGGGGCCGCGGGGAGAGAGGGCTGTCCAGTCTCACGGCGACGAGCACACGCAGAGGCACTGGCGGGGTGCTCCCGCCGGGCGCCCGGCCCACGGGGCACCACGGACGCACAGGTGCAGGGGCGGCTCTTGAAGCTGCTTTGCCGGAGCGCCCGCCCGCCCGCGCGGAGAGCCGCCGCGGCGAGCGCTGGCGGAGGAAGCGAAGAGGAAGCCGAGGGGCCCGGGACGTGACGATTCTCAGCCAGGAAGTAGACTTCCCACGGCGGCGGGACGAGAAACGCAGGAGTGGGGCTTGGGAGCTGCTGCACCCTCTGGGAGGACGGCCCCCCTGTGAGCCGCGAAGGGCCTGGAGACATTAAGGGGCCGTGATACTTGGGGGGAAACCGAGTCATATCATTCCCCCGTATGAGGAGCCCAAGCCAGACCAAGAGGCTCACTCAGCATTCCTCCTCCAGAGCCCACGGACCCACTGCGGGGTGTTTGGGAAACCTTCCCTTTTTCTAAGTCCCTGTGATGGTTGTCAACACTAGCAACTGTGCCGCCGCCCCCCCATCCCCCCGCAAAGCCCTCCCCCCCACGGGGGAAGTGAGACTTACAACATCCGGTTACATATACGATTTTCAAACGTGTCCAGTGCCAGGTGGACGGCTGGTCGGCCCCTGAGTTCTGCAGTGTTGCAGGACCTGGAGCAAGAAGCCTCGAGGGAGAGGTGGGCGGCGAGGAGAAGGCACAGCCTGGGTGTGGGCGGAGCAGGACAGGGCCGGGGGCTGGGAGGAGCGCGGGAAGCAGCAAGACGGGGACCCCAGGGCCGGACCCCAAACCTTCTGGAGGAAAGCGCTGCTACTTCTTCTTCTTCCTGCGACGCCCCCTTGCTTACCCGTGCCCCAAAGTGGTGGCTCTTTCTAATTCAGACAGGGGCCTGCGGGAGCCCCCCCAGGCCAGACAGCAGGTGACCCTGGGCCCCCCTCCTTGGAGAGTGGGCAGTGCTGAGAGGTGTTGAGTAAGAGGGGGCCGTGGTGGAGCAAGGATGACGCGGCGGAAACGCCGGTTCGGAGAGTGAGCGCGGGGGCTGGGCGAGCGAGGGGGCCGGGCGGGGGAGCTCCCCCTAGAGCGAAGGCAAGTCCTGACTTGGGGGGGAGCGCGAGAATGGAGAGGAGGGGCCCTACAGCCCGGAGTTGTCGGAGAGGTCAGGCCTGACCGCCGCCGGGCAGGGCGTTTCCAGGCGTCCTCAGGACGCACAGTGACCGAGGGAGGGTGTGGCGCCGACGGCTCTGGAAACCTCGGGTGGGCAGGGCCAGCTCAAGGGTCATTAGGGCCCCAGAGGTTAATTAGCACCGTGCGTAGACTGGAGCCGTGTAGTTTCTCACGGCGAGCTTGCTTCGCGAATGAATGAACCGACAGGGAGCTCAGCCGCGCCTCCGCCTCGGGAAGCCCTCCAGGCTTGCTCAACCCCCTCGGGCACGGGGTTCGGACCCGGTCAGAGTGCCCAGCAGCACGGTCTGCCCACCTGGCCTCTCTCCGGAAGCTCCCTTGAGGACAGCGGCCTTGACTTAAGTACCCAGGGCCTGACGGGCACTCAGTGAGGGCTTGGTGACTGAGCGCATACGTGACCGACGGTGGGAGAAAGGCCAGGTTTGTTCTTAAAAGCCAGGTTTAGGTATGCTGGTGTTGGTGGCTCCCGGCGGAAGTGTCCGTGGGACACACACACAGCAGGGCCCCTCTCTGGGGGAGGCGACGGGCGAACGTGATGAACGGCAACCGGAAGAGGGAGGGCGAAGGAGGAGACGGAGGCTCTGGAGGAGCACACTCTCGGTTCCTTAAACCCGGATGGCGGACCCCCGGAGCCTGAGCCGACTTGCAAAGGCCTCCTTCCCGCGGCCGAGGTCCTCCGTCTGTCCGGCCGAGCAGCAGACGCCGGAAAGAGGCGCCCATCTGGGTGCGCAGTGAAGGATGCGGTGGGTGAGGATTAACCTCCGTTGCTGCTGTTCAAACGGCGAATTTCCAGTTTGGAAGCAGAGGGTTAGCGAGCCCTGTCCTCTCGGGGGGGTCTCCAAGTCCTCCCCAGAAACTGACTGTCATCCGCCGGTTCATCCGGAGTTTCCTGATCACCTCCCAGACTTTGCGTTTTAATGTCACTAAGAAATTATTGGGCTAGCGTATCTTTTTATCCCCACAGACTGTCGGCATTATTGATGAGAGAAAGAGAGGGGAAATATATATATCGCTGTGTATAACGTGTTCATTTTTGCCTCATTAAATATTTCCTACCTCTGCGGTCCTGGGCCCCACCCTCTCGCTGGGTCACGGCTGCTGGCTGGAGCCCACGGGTCATAATCAGGGAGGGGGCGGCCCCCAGCCTGGAGCCTGCGGGCATGGCCAAGCACCCCCAGATCCCTGTTGGCTCCCACGCACTCTGTGGGACCCCCCTCACAGTAGCACTGGCTTCCACTTTGGCTGGACACAGTGACAGGGGACACTGGGGGGCCCTGTCACCAGAGGCCCGTGGACACATTTCTGGGAGGGAGTCGGGTTTCAGAGCCTGAGCCGCAGCCTCGCCCCTCGAGCGGCAGCCGGAGCCTGGCCCGCGCGCTGGGTCCGTGGGAGCCTGCACGCCACATCCCAGCAGCAGCGCCGTGTCTTATCAGGGCGTCGGGAGAAAGCCTCTGACTTCAGAGAAACTCAAGACAGGGCCCCCTCCCTCCAGGAATAGCTGTAGGGCCCCGTGACCCACCGTGCTGGGCTCACCGGCAGGGAGGGGCGCAAGGCTCGGGTGGGAGGGAGGGAGGGAGGGAGGGGGCTGCTGGGGGGCGTAGGCATGGCCATCGGAAAAAAGCTCCAGTGTGACTCTGCCCTGGACGCTAGCTCAGCCTCCGCCCTGAGGAGTGAGGTTTTCATTTGCGTCACAAGAGCCATTCTCCACCGCCTGCTGGGCCTTCAGGGTGCTCTGCCGACCTTTCTGTCTCTCTGCTGGAACGAGGAGACAGGGCTGAGCACAGCAACTTCGTCCTCACCGCTCTGAAGGGCCAACCCGAGCCAGACCGGGGGCAACACCGCCCTCGGAACCCTGGAACCCTGTCTTTTGGGCAGCGATCTTTCCCCTCTGGGTGTCCTGGGCGCCTTTCCCCCTGGAGCTGCAGGGGTGGCTGCTGCAGCTCAGCTCCAAGTCCCGCTGGATGGGCCTCAGTCTGTTCTAAGGGCAGGGGCCGCCCAGGAGGGCTGCAGTGGGCACGCAGGCCCCCCGACTCTGGGAGTGCCCCTCCTCAATGGATCCCACGCCCCCCCCCAGGCTGGACCCACTGAGAAGTTGCAGGCAGCAAGCTGGACGTTTCTCTCCGGCGGGGAAATGAAACGCCTGCGTTGCCCGTTGGGCACGCCCCCGGC